GATGGGAAATTCAGTATCACGCGGAAGTATGTTGCCAATCAAGGTCGGAAAACAGTTTTTGCAATCAGCTCAAGAATGAATAATTACTACGTAAACATAGAAACAAAATGTGCAGTTTTTGATACATATGTGAAAAGTGTTTTATCATATGAAGCTGTAATATGGGGTTTTCACAAGGCCAAAGATGTTGAAAAAATTCATGGTGACTTTTGTAAGAAAATCTTAGGTGTGAAATTATGTACTCCGAACAATATGGTGTATTATGAATTGGGCAAATTACCTCTGTATCTTTCAAGAATACTTCAAATTTTGAAATATTGGAATAAACTTACGAAAACAAACAACTGTATATTGAAAGCATGTTATGAAGAAAGATTTAGAAATAGTGACAAGTGGGTTACTGAAATTAGGAATGAATTTGATACGCTTGGTAATTAAAGTTATCTTTTGTTCCAAAACTTTGATACTCTTAGAGAATTTGTTATAGTTAAGCAAAGATTCTTTGGTGTGTATAGTCAAGAAATCCTGCATAGTATTAAGATGTCTACTAGAGAAAGTTGTATCAACTTAGTATACGCCATCACAGAATTATTTATCAAAACTTATTTAACATGCATACAAAAATGTATCACAAGCTTTAGACTGTCTAGTCATAAATGACGGGTTGAAGAAGGTAGATATGTTGATGAGAATAGAAATAAAAAAATATATGTATATTATGTGACTTGAATAGTGTAGAAGATGAATTCCATTTTATATCAAAATGTCCTGCATATCAAGATCTCAGAATCCAATATATCAAACAGTATTATGTTAAAAAAAACCTAGTGTCTTTAAGCTAATACAATTGCTAAGTGTTCAAATTCTCAAAGAAATGTCTAAATTGGGAAATTTTTGTTCAGTGCAGCACAACGAAGAAAAGATTTATTAAATTGTCTGTAGCTTAAAATAAGTATGTAAATATTTGTTATCTAAATGAAAGATTTGAATACATGTTCAGCTCAACGCACTTTTTAAGCTCACATGGTTTTTCGCACAATTTAAGGCCACGTTGTTGTAATAAAAATTACCATTTTTGAACTGCAGTACAATGACATAACCCTTCGTTATATTACATATATAATGTCAAGCATAAATGTCTTTTAAAATTATTAGAGAGGTTTAGTAAACCAACGTGTACGTGTAGCACCAGAAATCTGTGCAATACGTCATCACTTTTGCTTATGACGAATTTCTACACGTATCCTCTTCCACAGGTTACGTGTAGATTGCCAAGTACACGTAAGTCCAAACTTGTAGCTCACAATTCTTTAACTTTTGTTTATTTTTCAAAAAGTCTGTTTTTTCTAAAGCCTTAATATTTAATGCAAATACCGATTAAAAGAACTGAACGTCACTAATTGATAAATATAAATTTATAGGGAGTTAAAATCACAACATCTAGATTTTCGAAACATGCTTTGACCGATTAAGGATATAAGAACTCTGTACAAACTTCTTCTCATAAGAACATGCATATATTTATGTAAAAAGGTGATATACGTATTAAAATTATTGCTTTTTCGGATGATTTTAAAATGTAAACCACTTTTACATTTAAAACACTTACAAGTACAAGTACAGGTTATACTTTGCTAAACAAGAAAAAAAAATGTTAACGTGTACGTGTAATTCTAACTTGTACTTTACACGTACAAGTGAGCTTGCTAAACCTCTCTACTATTTTAAGTTTCCAAAGTGAATGTTTTAAAGGGAAATGTATAAATAAATGTTTCGACTATACGATTCTACCGTAGGTTTATACAAATTGTATAAAACGAACTTTCCTTGATACCATGTAGTTGAAAATTTTAAATTTTCTTCTTCAAGGTGAGTATTTTTAAAAACTCTTATTTAATTTACAATACTCCTCTTGGTTTTGTCGAAATGTAGCACCAAAAAGGGATAACATTGCAGAAGGAAACCACACTAAAGGGTAGGATAATGAAGTATTGTTTATTTTTTCAATAGTAAATTCCTTCTGTGAAAAGGAAAATTCTTCTGCATTTACGGTTTGAAACGTTAAAATTTTGCATTGAGATGAATCTCTCATGATTCTAGATTTTAGAAGTTGACTCTGAAAAATCCCACCTTATTAACATTGAAAGCAGTCAAACAGATGAAAAATATTATTACCACCCCGAGTTAAAGAGTCAAAATGTACAGAAAATACAACTTATGTAGTAGCTGTATTATACCCATGTCTACGTTTCTGTCAAGAGCTATCGCTTTCAAAAGAACGGATAAAAAGACAGCTGCGATTGACAAGAAACCAAAAAAATTCAAATGAGAATAGTTGTTATTTTTCAGCCATGAATATTTCAAAGTTCTACCAATTGATTTGTGTGAATTATGTTTCAGTAAATGAAATAAAAATCCAATTATGTAAACAAATAGTTACTTTTAAAAAGTATTTTGTTGTCTCGATACACAATATTACATCATAACAATGTGACCTTAATTTGTGCGAAAAACCATGTGAGTTTAAAATGTGCGTTGAGCTGTATATGTTTACCTTGTTTGTAATACATATAATTGTCTGATGTCCAAATGACATAAGGAAATAAAGAATTGAATTGAATAAATAGTTAAATAAATCTATCTTATATTCTCTTGCATTTTGTGGGTACAGTTTTCATCATTTGCATTACGTTTGTGCTGTCTAATAAATAATGAATATGAAAATGTTTATTTCATTTGTACACAAAGCAATGAGATAAAAATGGAAATGTATAAAAATTATTCTTTTTTTCTTTTAAAAAAAAATAAAGATTTGAAAACACGAGTACACTCGCAGGTGAACATGACGTGATGAATTGTAATATTTAACAGGTCAATCGAAGTCCAATCAAGGTCAACGCAGTCATAATAATAGAAGCGAAAAGTTTATTTTGAACATCTTTTTGTTAAAAAAGGCGACATCCATAAAATCGATATAGTTTTTGCACCGAGAAAGACTTTGTCGAGATAAAACGTTCCATTTCCACTATGGAAGTTATCGCAAATCTCGCTCGAAAGTATTACACTGCGGCCGAAATAGCATTGCCTTGAGTGTTGACACTATTGGATTTGACAACTGAACAATTTGAATCCCGGGTTTCATTGTGTAAAACAAGCGATTTAATTGGTTGATTAGGACCCGCCCACTCTCGTGCAGTATCCTTCGCCTGTTAAGTTGGAAAGCGTCCAACGGCCTTGTGATTGTCGAAAACCGACGGTGACTTTTTGAACAAAATACACAAACAAACTACAAAATCACTTTTTAGCATGTGATATATTCCTTTCACAGACGGTACATGTTTATAGCGTTCGAAGACACACCTATTTTCAATTTATTGTACATGTAATTCTGCCGATTTTCTATTCACGGCATTTTCCATTTTCGGTGTTGCACCACCTGCTAACGTAGAAAGCATACCCAGCGAATACCGGAGCACCTGATGAAAATATATATATATATATATATCCAGAAAAAGTATTTTTGTGGTATAAACACATTGTATATTTTTCATGATTTACATTTTTCTTACAACAAAAGTTTACTGTTTTGTTGTCAAGTTGACATTTATATGATTTTGACTGTCAAAAATAATACCATGTTTCAAATGTGTGTGTGCTACTGCTATTTTAACGGTCGTCATGGATATTATTAAAACATGCGATCAGTAAAAAGTTGAAATCCTTGTGGGTTTTTTTTTTCATGCAGTGCACTTTTTACTGTAATGGCGAATATTATCCATATGTTCACTATAAAATAATTAATATCACTGATACATTTTCCAAATTTAAGTACTGTACGTTTAATTTTATTGATGTACTGAAGAAAAAACGGGAAAACAGCCCCGTTTTTCAATCGAAGAAATATGCCCCAGGTGACAGGTATCATTTTAAGTCAACTTCTGCCAGACTTGGATGGGATTTTATTAATATGAAGATCATTATACAGGTTACCCACCCACAATAATTTAATAAGGTATTACATAGGTCCAGTATATACTTCGCTCAGTAAGAAGAGGCCTACCACTTGTTTACAGCTGTTTCCATGAGAAAGTGGGTGGGCCTATAGCAAAGCACCAATCAGACTCTTTGTTGGATATCGCAATTGTATTTCAGTCAGATTTATCAGTGTCGTCACTCAACGTATCAGTTTATCAGTCCAAGTGTATATTTTGAAGCAAGATTTGCGATAAAGTTCTTAGTGCGCTCTTTTGTTAAAGAAAAAATGTCGCAAAATGTACAAATCCCGCGAGATTTCTGTGACAAACGTAATATAAACATGTAAACACTATGTTGGATGTCGGTGAACAAATCCAAACAAAAACTGAATGAATCATTTTATTGTTGTGGACTTTCTATACATCTAGAGAAGAAACGACAACGATATAATTTTTTATTTATTGTTTATCTTATGTATATCTTATGTATATACTTATCATCTAAATACAATTCACATGCCTTGGAAATGTCATATTTCTTATAAATGTCAATGGATGATGGATTTATGGTTCTCGCTCTCTTACATATGTCTATTAGTTTATCTATTCTTTAATCGGAATGACAAATACATTTAACTTTTAAATTGGATTGAGATTTGCATGTTTTGTATTATTCACAAAGTCGTGCTGTCCCAGTCAGACTACTAAACGCGTTTTGAACAGTCCCGTAATGGAAATACAACGTATTATCGCTTAAGCGTCCTCAAACTAATAATCATTCGATGATTAACAGCCTGGGAAAATGGTTTTTCTTTGTAGATAGGCCCCATGCGAAAATAAGTAGTGATTACTGTATCGACGTCTTTCATTTTGTAATTGTAAACTAGTTCATAAAACACAAAAAGAGAAGTACAAGAATATTACTATTAGCAGCCGCCAGATAAAATATTTCTTCATCAGGCACCAAGCAGCATCCGTAAATTAATTATTTTATAGGGAAATTAATAATGACATAAATAGTTTTACCTTTGGTCCTACTTCTATCGCACACCACAGTGATACTGATACGGTTGCCGCTAACAGCAATGAAACAATACCTATAATCTGCAAGAAAAAAATTAGCATATCAGAAAGATCGTTTTGATTCTAAGAAAATTTTATTTCTAATTTATTTATTTTTTATGTTTAAAAAAAAATCAATTCAAATTCAAATATAGATATCAAAATAGCAATCTAATAAATACGTTAAATTAAATTAATGATGGGCATATTTTTTTGTGTCTGCGTATTGTGTTGGAAACTTTCGTTCATGGTCTAGATAACTTCTTTACGTACTAGTGTCATGGTCGTTTTGATCGGCTTATAATCTATCTTTTCAAAATCTTCTGCAAGATTAAAACATGGAATAGCGTAGATTATTTTAAAAATCCCGATGACAATTATAAATGCGGCCAGGATTATGTTGCTGCAACCAAGTCCACAGGAAGATAAATTAATTGTGTTTAAAATGGTGTAGACACTGCTGGGAGCTAAAGTTATGCAGAGGATTGCAATGCCAGTTGTCACCCAGGCACCTCCCAAAAGACCCTGTAAAAAGAGGATGGAATTTAGCAAGTAACCTTCAGCTTGGAAAACGTCCAGTAATCACATGCATTTCTTCTAGAAAGATATAACACAATTTCCATTGCTGTGTTCCTATTTCGCCTTAACTGTGACATTATATAAATGGTGCCTGTTTTGGAGGGTATCATTTGAAATTGACACCCCAAGGAAAACCATTGTCAACCGACGCGTCAGCGGAGGTTGACAAAGGGGTGTCAATTTCAAATGTTACCCTCCAAAACAGGCACCATTTATTTTATTATACTGAATGTCTTATTGATCAAGGACGTCAGCAAAAAAAAAAACCGTCGATCGTCTTTACGTTCATGTATAGAAAGATTTCACACTCACCGGTTCACTAATCTCCTTATTGTTTGTTCGATACTCGAATTAGAGTCATTTATCATATAAAGCTTCGTTATTTCTGGCTCGCAAGCATGTTTCCTACACTCGCAAGCATGTATTGTCTGTCGTTTGTTGTTTTCAAGTAAGCTTTATGCTTTTATTGACGTCAAGTTAATTCCGGTTCTTTCAAACGCGCAACTGACGTTTTGAGAATTCTACGGTGAACCGTACGCGCATAATTTCCACGCAGGTGGCATTACCGTTGTGTTACCCGTTGTCACGTGTGTTGCTAAGGCTCAGGGTAATCGAACGGATTGTTAACTGCGTCTAAACCAATCAGATTTTAGTATTTAACATGAAAGTATAATAAAATGGTAAAACATATGAAAAAGTTTTAAGGCAAAGTGGGAATCTGATAATTCCTTCGTTAATGTAATAACTAATTCAATTAGATGTTTGTTTTACCGCTCAGTTGATTACATAGTTTAAAAAGAAATATTTTACAGGTAAAATGAAAAGAAAAAGTAATATTTTAATATCATTGACCTGTAGAGTAGTTGTGCAAGTAAAAAATAAGAAATTTGCGAAAAAATATTAATTATTAATATTTAAATATCAATTAAAATGTAATTTTTTTATGGATGCAGTGTCATAGAAAATACAAATTAAATCTAAAATATATGTTAGTATTCTGAAGTACTTTTCTTCTAAGAGTCTATTAACTTAACTTTTTTCATCGATTTTTATACCCCCGCTCCGAAGGAGAGGGGGTATACTGTTTTACCCTTGTATGTGTGTCTGTGTAACAAATTTTCGTCGCATTTTTCTCAGCAACCACTCATCGCAGATGCTTGAAATTTTAACACTATCTTCTCTGATGCATGCCATACGGTGGGATACATTTTTGGTCAAATCCAATGTCAGCTTCCTGTTTATCTGTGCGTCTGTCCGTTTCATACATAACAAATTTATAAACAGTAAGTTCCAGTTTCGTCTCAATAAACCCTAAAAGGTACTAAAACGAAAGGGGAATAGCAACTTTTACAGTTAAGGCGAAATGGAAACAAATCTTTCCATTAAACAAATCTCTGACATAGTACATGTATTTAGAAATAATATAAAATTAAATTATAAAAGCTATACTGATCATTTAATTTCTTAAAGCAACAAGACGCCTTTGATAGATTTCTTTCATGGTTTATTCCTACTCTTACAAGTAAGAGCCTCGGTTAACGTCCCATCGCTCCTTATGTTACGCGGCGCCAAGTCAAAAGCATCCAGCCGTAAACCTCTAGCATGCTGGAGTAGGTTTATTCCCCCCACCTCTACTGACTAAATCCCTCAAAGGGGAACTTGTAGTTTTTTAATTGTTACCTCCGTTTTCTTGAATTTACAGCCTAAGTAAAATACAGTTTTAATAAAAAGAAATTTACTAGCACAGTTTATTTGATTAAAAAAACTATAATAAAAGACGCTATACAAGTATTTTTCACTCATATGCATGTCACTGTATGCCGGTGAAGGGCTTCAAATTTAGACCTATACTCTGCACTCAGGGCCATTGAGCAGTAAGGGTTCTTTAATGTGCCGCGGACCTACGTTTTTAAGGTCATATCCGAAAGACCCGTGACTTTCACCTTTAATGCCGACGGTTTAGCGAAAAAACAGTCACTACCTATGTAGGTTTGACGCGGCGCTGCGAACGAGAATAGAACCCGGGTCTCCCGATCACGAATCTACGGTGGTATATTTAGAACACGCGTTTTTTTTTAAATAGCAGAAAAAAATTATCTTGTGAAAACGACTTATTATCTTGTGAAAACGAGATATTATCTTGTTAAAACGACATATTATCTTGTGAAAACGACATAATTATCTTGTGAAAACGAGATATTATCTAGTGAAAACGACTTATTATCTTGTGAAAACGACATATTATCTTGTGAAAACGACATATCATCTTGTGAAAACGAGACATTATCTTGTGAAAACGACATAATTATCTTGTGAAAACGAGATAATATCTTGTGAAAACGAGATATTATCTTGTGAAAACGAGATATTATCTTGTGAAAACGACTTATTATCTTGTGAAAACGAGATAATATCTTGTGAAAACGACTTATTATATTATGTCGTTTTGAATGTGTTTTTTTTTTTTTTTTTTTGGAAAGGATGTTATTATCCACCCATTCTGTTGCCGAGATATGACCATTTCTGACAAATTAACTGTTCTTGTCATAAAAATTAACTCACATGGAAAGAAATAAAAAAAACTCGGCAAAAACTTTTAACTTTTGTGACAGAACGCTACGGAGGGGGTCACGTGACCGCCAATATCACGTGATTCGCGCAAGCGCAGAACGGTGGTTGATGTGTATTAAAATCGGGGAGGATTAATCTAAAATATAATAAACATTAAAACCAAATATTGTTTCTTGTATGGAAGCTATTCAATTAGTTTGCGAACTTTTTGATCACCCCTCGTACATTGTAAAACCCCAAAAAATAGAGTCCAAAAAGATTGACTCAAAGAAAAGTCAAAAAAAGATGTAAAGTACATGTAAAGGAGTGATTTAAAGGCATTAAGAATGAATCCAAAGAATAGAAGAATGATTCCAAAGAATGCCATTTTCAGGCAAAACAGGGTATTTTGAACTCAAGGGGTATTCATGGTCCCGGATATAATAGTACATATGATTGGCTGCCTTGCCATTACATGCCACTTACTTACTCTTGGTCAAGAATCGTAATAGAAATGTTGCATTTCCTTTCAGTTTTTATTAATTAGTATCGATGGGCTTCATTGGTTTATTCTGATCAATTCCATTACAAAATGATTTACAAGATTATAGTCCATTGTTCCAACAACAACATCCAATTTGTTCTATCAAGATAATTATAGTTCATGGAATTAAAGTCCCGTTTCCAATTATTATGTCACTGAATGTGGTACACATATAATGTACATCCTGGTTTAATAAACTTTTATTTTATTTTACTGTCAATTCTAAGTTCACTATTAATAACAAAAATGATAATGATATGAAAATAGTCCAAATTTAAAATGTTCAAATGTTCTAAACCCTATAGCTTTACAGTAACTCAGGTGAGTGATGTAACGCATGTGCTTCTTATTTAGAGTTGACATGCAGGGATCCTCGTTTTTATTGACAGATAAGATTTCCTTCCATCTCCCAACTGAAAAAAAATATCTGAAAAATGTAAACAAAAATTTTCAATGAATATTGACTTTGAACCTGATTTTTGGATAGCAGACAATTCGAATATACCCTGAATTCTTTTTTAAAGTCATTACTTGCTCGGCCATTCTTCGCTTCTTCGATCTCGGTGACATTTGAGTGTCCATTTAGGGCAAGAAAAGCAAATAAAACATTTATAAACTTAAAGCAATTATGAGCTGCAAGTTTGATGTCGAAATGTTTTGCTGCAATTTAGTAATTAACTATTTAAATGACAGAAAAAAGAACATAAAGGAATTTCTATTCTTTATATATCAGACAAAAAACTATTTATAATTGCTTTGATTGAAGAAAAATTACATTATTGTCATCCTGTATAATATTGAATTCTAAAGAAATCTTTCTTTGAAAACAAAAATAATTCTTTATATCAGTCTAAATTAAACATGATGGTTCAAATAACATTCAAATTCATCATAATAGCATAATTTTAACAGCAAAATTAATTCCTCCATAAAAGAGCTCGTATTGCTTTAATTTTTTTTTCCAAATTAATTAAATTTATTTTTTTTTTCTTATATAAGAGGTACTGTAAGCAATGAGCTCTCTAAATGATACCCCCGCCTCCCATATAAATGTAATGGCAGTATCCATGTTTTGCTATGGGAAACCCAAAATATTCAAGTTTGTACAAATCTTGACCTCCGGGGTTAGGGCGGGGTCACAATTGACGATCAAAGTTTTACAAAAGAATATATTGGGAAAATCCTTAAAAACTTCTTTTCGAGAACAGCAAAGACATGATTGGTCATATTTATAAAAAAAAAAAGTATCCCCAGGGAAGATTTCAACTTGTTTAAATCATTGGGTTAGGGCGGAGTCACATTGGACTATCACCGTTTTTACATAGGAATATATAGGAAAATGTTTATCAAAGCGTTTGGTTGTTAGATTACCATTCCCATCACCGTCTTTTTTTTCAAAGCAATATGAGCTGCATTTTTGAAAATTTCATTATGCTGATAAAATGTGTTATTATGATTACTCTGTACATAATTTAAACCCTTATGATTAATGAGACCAAAATGAAGTTTAAAAATGCTTTAGAAAAAATATTTCTGTACGACCGAATAAACAGTATTATATAAGAAATCATCATTGTACAGGGCGACAATAATTCAATTTTGCTTTGATCAAATCGTATAAAAAGTTCTTCCAAATCATAAAAGAACAACAGAAGTTTATAAATGGTCCATTTTCCTGTCATTGAAATAATTCATTACCAATTTGCAACAATTTTTTTCGATGTCAAACATGCAGCTCCTATTGCTTTAAGTATAATATAATAAGAAACAGATGTGTCAGACTGTGGTACCTTTTATCTCAAGCTCCCCAGGATATATGATCGTATCGACATAAGTACTCTTGAAGTTTCTCCTTCACTACTGTTAATGTTTGAGTGAGGACTAAAGAAAGTTGAACATTTACTGAAACTCGCTATGTATCTTTGTTTGTCAGGATTCTTATGAAGTTTCGGAATCCAATATAGATATGGTAAAAGTATCATATTCCATCTGGAATTTAATGTGATATCATCTAAGATAGAATACCATATTCCAAAATCCAGTTTGACTTTCGTTTATAAGGTTTAAATTCTCTACATAGCAATTCAAACGTTTGCATAAAATGGAGGTAAAAAAATTTTCCTATTTCGTCGTTGTAGATGATTTCCTTGCACGTTTGTTTCCACATGGGTAGGTGTAGGTTTGTCATCATGGGTTGGGTAGTTCCGGGCGTTGACATGTTCTTTGTATCTTTGTGTTCATACATCTTACCATCTACACGTGCCAGCTATATATAGTTTGTCCAAAACAAGTTTCACACGTCTTTTTTCTTTCATCTACTTGCGCATAACTGGATATACCTTGCGCCGTTTGTCCTCTACCTCCAATGGAAGCTGTTCGTTTGTCCAAATCTTGGATTCCTTTAGTCTGTGTGAGGCACATTTTCTTTTCTTTATAAAAACTTAACATTGCCACAATGTTCTTTGGTATAGCTCTGAACTCATCTGGTTTTTCTGAACGATGAACTCTCTAAAGGAATTTTGTCAAGTTTTTTTTACTTGTTTTCAGTAATTCTCGCAAAAACAATTTACAGTTTTCTTCTCTGTTTTCTGGGATTCTGGTGAAACTAGTTATCTCTCATGGACCTAGAACTTGAACTACGGTACCTGTAACCCTTAGAGGGCCTCTTAATTGAGTGTGAGAATTATATTGTTGATGTAGGAAGTAGACGTTCGGGAAACACACCTTCTTCGCCAATCTATTATTGCAGCCCGGATGACCGGGCTGCTCTATACATATAAGTTTAAGTGTTGGTGTATGGGGATTGAGGTGGGAGAAGTTATTCAGACTTAAAGGTTTTGTAAACATTAAAATGATTGTCAATCAGAATGTTCTTTCCCTTTATAAATTACGAGATACATAATATATTTACTTCCATAAAGTGAATTTGTAAAAATATATATGTTTTTGATATTTTATATATAAAGTTGGTTCTCATTTACCATCGAAATATTTAGAACATCGAATTTTTCTAATAGCATGAAACGTGCTTTACACAGTTCGTGTTTAATATTCTTAAAGTGAAATACATTTTTAAAAATAGGTATTGCATGAGTTTAGTTTCAATTTATATTTCAGGCAGCCAAAATTTACTTGAGGAATACTTGATATCGCGATTACTTAACTTAGCGGAACTCTTTCGCGATGGAAGTAGGAAACGTCTGTTGGGTGGGGGCAAATGTGCTATTTAATATAATGCAAGATCGATCATTGTAGCATTTACAAGGACAGATAAGTAAAAAATCCTGGTGGAATACTTTGCTAAACAATCGCTGAACCAGCCTAATATATTTTTGAGAGGAGGCAATCCTAAATTGTTACATTTTTAACGATATTTTTAATTAAGCGAACTCTTCTAGTTAAATTTTCATTGAAAATCGTCACATTTTAAAGCAGATAAAATATTCTAAACTTTCCTTATACATGTTATATGACAATATAGTATTTGGAGTTCAATATCTGGCAAAACGTTGTGATTTAGGCATTAAATTGTTGGAATCAGTTGATTGTCACTACTGTAAACAATGTCATGTGCCCCAGAAATTTAGACCTTTCTCGACTCCCCCGCAAAAGAGCGGTAGTAAGTTAGATAACTGCGAGGTACTTATTGGTAGTCGCGATATTACGTATTGATAAAGTTTATCAAGGGTATCGTTTTTGTTCGATTTTCATCCGATTATAGGTTTTCAAAAAATTCTCAACTATCGTCTCTATCATATAGACGCATGCTTTTTTCACACATAAAGCGGTTTAACGATCAAGACTCATTGTTTACTTTATTTATTTCCCGGGCGACAATTGATGTTTACATCAATGTTTTCTTGTTAATTCGGAAAATAAGAAAAGTACGATGGGAGATATGAGCCGTCAAAATACAAGTAAGAGTAGCTCAATTATGTACGCAGAATCAATGGCAAAACGCATGAAGTAAATAATAATATAAATTCGTACATGATGAAATCTTGAGACAAAATACACTTAGATCCTTAGATTTATTGGGAAGATTATCTGTAAACTTAGAAGGGACAAAATCAAATAAACGTTTCTGATTTTCCCTCTATTTCCTCCTGTTCCGCTCATTTTTATTGTTTAATGAATGTTGTGCACCTTACTTCAATTGATCACAAAATGCAGCAAGATTGTTTTTATTTTCGTCTTTGATCCCTCGGTTAAAGAATGTTAAGTAGGATTAATATGAAAAGATTATGAAAATAATCGAGAGATTCACAAACTTCTATGTTTTAAATTTTAAATTTCAAAAGCGTATGTTCATTACTTTTTCTTAAATAACATTTTTGTTACTCCTTTCTCTAAGAGCCTTAGTTTAAAGCACACTGTATTCCGACGTCAACCTACCTATCATTTACAAAATCGTTTAATCAGTTATATAATATTTTTAATTACATCTTTAAACCTGTAATTTCTTAATAATGTTTAATTCTATAAATAAAAGGAAAGAGGTGGTTTAACAAGTAAAGACCGAATCCAACTCGAGTATACATTACCATTTTTTAGTTTTATGCAGTCGTAGGTGCAACATAACTCCTATTATCCCAAGTATTGTAACTCTAAGGTCAGACGACACGTTCCTCAAATGTATCTTTTGTATTTCTTTGTATTATATTTTTAAACAAGATGTGTTTGTGAAACACTACGCACCCGGCAGCAACAAAAAAAATATTTTTTCAGCTTATAGGCCACAATCAAGGTCACAAGGTCATTAATCATGGTGTCAATTGAAAGAACTTGATTAGTAAAGTATGCATACCAAATATGAAGTCTCTATCTTTTATGGTTCAAAGGTATGGTGAAGGTTCAAAAAAGCTATTTTTAACATATAGGATACTGTCAAGGTCACAAGGTCATTGACCTTGGTGTCATGTGATAGGACTTAATTAGTGGATTAGGCATGCCAAATATGAAGTATCTTTCTTCGTTCAAAAGTTATGGCAAAGGTTAAAGTTTGCAGAAAAAAGCTAAATTTAGCGTATAGGTCACAGTCAAGGTCACAAGGTCATTGACCAATCTTATCAGTGGTGTTTGCATACTAAATATAAAGTCTCTGTTCTTATGAAATGTGGAAAAAGTTTCATATAGGACAAGTTATTCTGGGTATGCATACCAAATATGAAGTCTCTTTCACTCATGGTTTAAAAGGTATGGCGAAGGTTAAAGTTTGCAGACAAACAGACAAATAGACAGACAGAAAGACAGACAGACAGGACAAAAACAATATACGCCTCGGATCTTTCGATTCGGGTGCATAAAAATATGCATATTTTTCACTTTCTTGTGATTTCTACACCAGATATATCTGAACAATCGGACACATTTCAGACGAAATGTTAGTTGAAGTGTAGGCCGTCTCCGGTTCTTCTATTACACGTTTTCTAGAATAATGCCCTGTTCACACGGAGAGTTTATTTAAGGAATAACTTTCTTTTTTTGTCGATTTTTGATTTTGTTTGAAAATTTTTTTATGTAAAATTTTCGATTGAACATCTTCATGAAATTGAAAAATCTGACAGTTATTCCTTATATTTACATGCTTTGATTCCACCAGTCCACGTGCTCCAAGCCCTGCTTCTGTCTAGCTGTTTGTTCGCCCTGCACGTGTTTTTTTTGGAACCGCGCAAATACATTGATGGAAATGAATTTATACTTTGTAATTTTATCTCAAACAAAGACATTGGAAATGTAAATATATCGAATTGAACACAAGTTACTGCGAATTAGCTTTGCTTAGCGTTCACACTGAGAATTTAATGCGAATTACTTTAATTCGAATTAATTTCTGTGCATTAAATTAAGCACAATTATAAGATGTTTCTATGTTTCTACTTGTGATGCATTTACCAGGATTATACTGACGATTTTCAGATGCATCTTTAAAACAATTCCTGTTTTATTCTGACTGTTGTTTGACTCATCTGCAGGTTTACAGTTGTGTTGATCACCTCCTGCCATGATATAACAAATCTACAAATGAAGAAAAAATATTTCAATAATTGAGAACATAACATATTGACTTTAATAGAGTTCTGGCAGTATCTATGTATGTACGAGAAATATGTTGATCTTTCAAAGAAAACTGATTGTAACTGTATAGCTTTAATATGAATATTATTTGTAAAACAAATCATTCAAGTAATTTAGTGATTTCAATTCATACACGTAGGTTAAAAGTCCGTCAAGATATATTGAAGTGCCTGAAATATGAGAGAAAATATTCAAAAGTTTTTAACCTGATCTCTGATTTTTTTTTTTTTTTTGTTGTTGTTTTACTTAAACAAATATACACATACTTTTTTTAATTATAAAGGAATGCGTTTAGGTTTTTTGCGAGTTATTGGTGTAAATCACACAAACTTGTTACGTGTTAGAGACTTTTATCCTTTTGGAATTTGCATTAATTTTTTTTATGCGAAATTTCAAAATTTTCTAAAAATCGGGAGAGGTTTTAGTCACAGATTCTCAAACTATAGTCTCAATACATTGTAGAGTGTATTCGATTAAGACAACCCGTGTCGTATAGTGTTAAATATACGCATGCTCACTGATTGAACTCTAGTGATCTAAATACACCATCTCGTGTTGTTTAGTGTTTGTATAAATATGGCGGGGAAAACAGTATATTCCCTGTATATCTGGTTTAAACAGAACAAACCATTGATTAACAAACAATATCCAATAACCAAATAAAGAATATCAGATAATTATATACAAGACCTCAAAGCTGAAATAAATTGTTGAGCAAAATGTATTTTTTTTTTTACAGATACATGTATTTTACAGATTATTTATCCTTGCAATATCATTTAACAAGTCAACACGTCCTCTTATTAAGAAAAAAAAAAGTAGCATAAGAATGTTTTCACATACATACATGTCAATAGTACTGGTATTAAATATTATTGTGACGTACCATCGTTTTTGAAAGGGGCCAAGCCAGAGAAAAACCAACAAAACTCCTATTTAGTTAGAGGAGGGGGGTGTAGGTCCCACTTCCTTCAACACCAAATTTTATTCATACAAGACGACTTCACCCTTGCTTGGCTTTACTGTAACAAAAAAGGGGAGGAAGCTGTCGGTGGTCTTTCAATGAAGATTTTTTAAAAGTAAAGAGATGTTTGGAAAAGAAGTGTGGGGAGCGCTTCCACCAGCTGCTACGTGCCTGCATTCTCTCCCCCCGTAACATTTTGCATGGGGTATAATAATTGGTCAGAAAAGTACCATAGCTGACAGTTTATAATAGTAATAATAATAAATTCTTTTATTTAGACAGGATAGCACAATTATTACATATGACTAGTTTACATTGTAGTCCTGTATAAAACATATTTACAGACAGATATAAAAAAAAGTAGAAACTAGAGTTAAAAAGAATATATGCATAGCATATTATATCAGACATATTTGTACATACTAATAAATAAACTACTAGTATTAAATATTGTGCCATACAGTTTTTATTTATATAGCTTTAGTCATAGGATGTGAGAGACATATACTTTTACCAAAAAATGTGACGCCGGTTGGAAAGGAAACTTGAGCTTATGTGTTTATTTCATGGTCTTACATGACTGTAGATTTTAATTTTGAGTCTGTAAAAATAATTTCAATATTTCAACTAAAATTTTTTTTTTGAAAAAATACGCATGAAATTGTTCAATAATTATTACAATTGTAATTAAAGGCTGAAAAGGTATTTTCTATATACTTATAACATTTATTGTAAACAAAGAATCGGTTTGTTCTGGGGACCCGGCCTCCATATTTATAAGATTACATTGTAATATATGCATGTAACTGTAATTGCTCTCACATTTGATCCTGTAATTATCTTAAAACTGAATTATTAATAATAATGATTTAACTTCATAAGGTAATTAACACGACATATCTATGCTGCGATTGTTAAATCTATAAAAATAATTTTTATTGGTGAATCATTATGCATCTATTGGACATTTTTGTAATCAAGGGGCCCGTTTTACAAAAGAACTTACACCTAAAATTATGGACAGGAACTTGCGTAATTGAGAAATTGTGTACATATTTCCACATATTTCCACATTTTTGTTTAAAAGTTCAAATATTGTTACATACTTAATATTTTGATGTATTGATCTCTGCTGCAGAGGAAATAAAGAATGTCTGTCTGTCTGTCTGTCTGATTTTCATACGTTTTAACATAAATTTGATGTGATTTGGTGCCTAACTAAATAAAATATGATATCACACTTCTTTATGTTCCATTTTGGCTGTTGAGTTTTTAGAGGTATGTGCTCTGAGACATGTTGTATGAAAATTAACCTGCAAAGATATGTATTTTATGGGTGATTTAGTTAGTTTAAGACTTATTTAAGGTATTTAAATAAAGAAATATCAGTTTGACAGAAAATTCTAAAAGTATGGACCAAACTTAAATACATTGTTTAACCAAACTTTTGTCATACAATGTAAGTTTATACAAGCCTTAAAGCAAATCACACAAAAATAAAATTTAATTATTAATAGTCCCCTCATATGATAGATTTAAAAATCGTTCAGTTTATATGGAGAATATAGTAAATACTGAAGTATCCCCCTAAACAATGACAAACTGTAGCAAACCACCACTAACCAGAAAAACAACTTCTAAATAATTTTATTTGGATATGATTGCACTTCATCATGTTTAGATAATTTTGGTTAAAGGTTGTCTTTATATTGAAAATGTTGAAAATTTGTATTTAATTTTTCTTCTCAAAATTATTTTAAGATTAAACAATTTGTCTTAAAGTTATACATCCGTTTACAATGACTTTGTGGCGCAGTGATATGGTTGCTGGATTGTGGACATAATGATATATCGTGAGTTCGAGTTTCACAGTGCGTGTTTCTTCTCTATGCTTTTTTTTCTCTGTGCATTTTTCCTACGTTTTCTTTTATTATTTTATAATACATGTATAAATTTAAGAGATATATAATACAACATTACACTTTGAAATTTAAAAAAAACCTCTAAAATTACTTTTACAAAAGTCATAGCTGCTATTGTTTTATTTTTAAAATTTTCTAAAAAAAAATCTTGTTTAGCATAAAAGTATTGAACAAGTAAAATTAGTGTCATGTAAAAACTTGCAACTATGAAAATATAACACTGGTCCACAAATGATTACATACACGTAGTTTGATCTTGAATTGAAAAGGTACATGTATCTATAAATAGAAACAGGTGATTTCCTTTAAATACTTTAGTCGGCCGTGTCGTCGGTAAGGCAGCTATGGATTTGTGAAATTATGCAGACCTATTAAGAAGCGAGACAAAAATAAATGATTAACATACCTCTTAAGTTAAAGTAAGGTCAGAAGATACCGTTTCTCAAGGTAAATGCATGAGTATCAACAAATTAATTCAAACCTGTACAAAAGAAGGCATAATACGTTTATGGTCATACAAGAATAAAGATGAAAAGTCCTATAATTAAGGAATAAACAACAATGTTAAAAAGTTCTCTGGGAAATGAACTTTTAGTTGGTCACATGATCAAATCCTGTGAAGCCCGAAGGGCTTCTCAGTAGATTTGATCACGTACCAACTAAAAGTTCATTTCCCAGTGAACTTTTTAACATTGTTGTTTATTACTTATATTTACATTTGAAACGAATACATTTCGAGTTAAATTGTATTTATTACAAGAATGGGCCAACGTATTGCTATGTAGTGACGCGCAATAAACTAGAAGTTGTTTGGTCAAAATAACACATCTCTCTGTGATCCGGTTGCGCTATGACCTCTGACCCCCAAATGAAATTCACACAGAATTGAACGTATTTTCTCTTCAATAGGTTCATCTAAGAAAGATATTTGCAAATGTAAATATTATGAATTGAACATAAATATTATCATATGGCTCAAACTCCAAGCTTTGGAATTTCTTGCTATGCAAAGAAAAAAAAACAGTCCAAATTTTCCCTGTGTATAACTAAGCACATTTTCTTCCGATCTCTTGAAGTTCTTGGTCTCTTGAACCAAAAACTTAGTCACATTATCCAAATGTTTATTGTATTTAACTCTTGGCCTCTAGAAATGTTGATAACACAAACACACAATCAAGCGTGTTATTAGTTAGGACTTCTCAGATATCAGATAATACCTGGAATGAATAATTTGAAGTACAAAAGTGTAACTTCACCCATGTGTCGTCCTGTGGTTGATAATTACACCAGAAAAAAATCACGAGGAATTTTATTCATATTAGCACACTGCGGGTGTGACAGGTCGGCAGGGGATGCGAACTCCTCTATGGCACCTCAAGCCTGAATTTTTTAGCTCCAATTTTGTAATGTTTAATGGACTTTTGAGCTTGAAAACTGTTTGTTATCTTCATTTGTTTCACTCGATACATTTCATGATCTATACATGAAGCTTACATTCACCAACATTATCTAAATGATCTCTAAAAACATCAGATCGACTGGTCACATCTACCTGTTATGATCTGGCCAACAAAGGACAATTTATCGTGTAAATAATACTCAAACAATACGACTTTGAAAAGTCAGGCGGCACTCAGCTTACCACGACTATGAAATTGCTGAATATAGGCAAGTTTTTGACATGATTGGTTGCATCAACTAGTTTTTTGAATGGTCTTGTTTGAAAAATTGTTCGTACATAGAGGATGCTCTTGCATATCGGATCACCTTGGAGACAAAAATTCTATATGAAGATGATAAGGGACCATTGCTACATAAAAAAGAACGTTGATGAAATGAAATTGAAGTTATTATTTTTATGATAAATAATGAAGACAAAAGTAGTGGAAGGAAAATCAAAGGTAATCTAACAACTAAGCTCTATGAAAACATGACGACTTCAACTTTTCAATCGTCAACTTCCCTTACGTATGCAGCAATATACCTTTAATACATGCCTACAGAGTTTATATCTCTCAGTTGATTTGATAAAACAAGGACATGCTCTACGTATATACAATTTCTAAAACGGGGTAAATTATTGAGAAACAATTTGATGAAACAAGGATATCAGCAGGCTCGTTTAAAGTCATCAAGAAGCTTACGCGGATGTGACCGGTCGGCTGGAGATGCTCACTCCACCATGGCACCTGGTCCCACCTCTGATGTTTTAGAGGTTTGTGTTTGCTCTGCTTCTACGTGGTGCATTGGTTAGAGGGTGTACGTGCTATGTTTTCCGAGTAAGTAGTTGATCCTTAGTCCCTACATGGTTCGAATTCCATGCTGCACGTGGAGATTAATCATTTGGAGCAATGTATAAACTGAGGTCCTTAGTCACTGTGTGTTGGTACGCAAAAAATACTCACTGCTTAATGTACCTGAGTTCCAGGTATAGATATAAATTTGCAGCGCCTGGGGCGTCTTCATATGAATGAAAAATCTGGTGAGGTACGTTAAACAAACAAACAATGTATAGATTATAAAAGTAAAAGGCGACAAAATACAGAGAATAAAAACGAGCTTTTAATATTAAAATTTCAATAGTCAGTTTACTTTTGATAAGCGAAGAATATTTCGTAAGGATTAAATGTCCTAGTTTCTGAACATTTTTTATAAGAAAAAATAATGATACTTATTTTTTTAACATTAAAAATGTCTCTGTATGTAAATTCAAATATTTGATATCATTGCATAATGATCTCTTGGATGTTTGACATCATAAACAAAAATGTATTTTCAATTTAAACTGAGCAACGACCCAGAATAGCTATTGAAATAATAGGAATTACTTTCAAGCCATATCTAAAAACTTGGTTTAGTTTCGAGGCTAAGTGTTTTGAAGGTTAGAATTATCTCGAATATCAGATAAAATTATCAGGCATATCAAACTATACACTTAAATCTATTTTTTGACGTCAAATTCCAAGAAAATCGTAAAGATAAATGGTACGGGAGGTGATACTGCTTTGAAATTCTTCCAAAAAGGTCGAAGAAATATTAAGATCCCTCTCAACACCATTACAAACTGTTTCTGGACATTTAGAAAAATATTTTGCATTTCTATTTATCAGTGAATAGAAATCAATGTTGTTTACTTCCATAGAGAAAATACTTGTAAATAACATGTTCAATTATTTTATTTTGGCCTTTTAAAATGTTGAGAACTTTTTAATTGATTTAAAATTAAGTAATTTAGTGTAAATTATTTTTCTAAGAACTTACAGTGTAGAAAGGAATTTTAATTAAGAGATAACGAACAGAATTCAAGCTGAAAAGATCATTTAACAACCCAAAATAGTGTCAGAGCAAACTTGGGCCTCCGAAACATTAGAGGCGGTATCAGGTGTCATGGAGGAGTGAGCTCTCCCCCCCCCACCCCCCACTCGCCAATCGGTCACGCCTGCTGTGTGCTTCTTGTCATGATCGGAAAATAACGCAAAAATTTTCGACCATTCAGTGTGTAAATAATGGACTAACAATTAGAATAAAAAACGTCAGTCAGCTTTTGATAAAGTGTATTTGCTGAAGTCATTGTATCGACCATAGAACTTACAAAATGATGACTTGAAACAAGATTACTGAAATTCTTTCTGATTCAGCAATTTGTTTGTCTATAATGTACCTCGTTTTAGAAATTGTACATACCCAGAGCATGCTCTTGCGTATTGAATTAACAGAGAGATGCAGATGATGAAGGTATATTGCTACACAAGTAAGATATTGACGATTGAAAATTTAAAGTCATTACAATTATCATAAAGCTTGGTTGTTAGATAACCATAAACGTCTATTTCAAGTAAAGTATCCAAATATGAAATAGATGTATCAGATTCTGTGGTATCTGTTATCTCAACTTCACCGGGATATATCGTACCGATATAAGAATGGAAATATCTGTTGTTATTTGACAATACGTCGACGATATATATAAATGTCGAGTAGAAAGCCGCAGCAAGTGTTTTATTTTTTTTCACGTGCATAATTTTGGACAAATTCTGCTTTAAATGAGTATAAAGTAAAGGATCAAAATAGTAATTTTTCAATATAAATATATATCGTACATACAAAACTCAAGGCTACATTAGACTACTAGCGAGAAAAAGATATATCACAATTGCTTTTACATGCTTAAAACAGAAAGGCAATGATTCTCCCCATTATATAAAACATAAGGTATCGATTCCTGTTCTGTATTTTCAAATCAATATTTCCTCTATACATACTCATATCGAATAGTCATCTTGATTGCTCCATTAACAGAAATCCCCAAATCCAGGACTCTACTTACCCTAAATTTCCTGAGTTGAATTATTATATGTGTATAACCTCACTAAATATCCTCTTTGCCACGTTGAAATCAAAGAACGATTGAAAAAATCTGAAAATAATATTAATTTGTATTATATAAAGCAAGTTTTCACCTTTTCATTGATGAAATAGAAAATATAACAGCATTTCACATTTGTAAAGCGAAAAAATAGAAGGCGTTTACCATGATTACAAATTCGTGAATATCTTGAGGCTTTGCCAACAATCAGAATGGTATCCAAGCCTGCACTTATTACGTAATTCAGAATTCAATCATGTGACCTAGATTCTGAAAATGAGGTCTTAATCAATAAGAAATCGTTTAAGAGCTGCTGACGGATTTTTTTGTGTAGCCTTTTTTTTTAATTCATCGTGTACTCTCTTTGCAGAAAATCACTCTGATTATTTTTGAAATTTAAGCAGGTGTTAAAATAAAAAGAGGAATTTAAAAAAATACTGACTTTGTTCTGTGTTATTCAACTGCTTACTTTAGCATTTTGTTATATGATATGTTAATGATATATAGTAAAACTCGGTTATAATGAAGTCACTGGGACCTATTAAACTGCTTCGCTATATCCGTACTTCGTTAAATCCGTATGAGGAATTTATAAAATTTGTATAACTGGGTGATCCAAGTTAATAAATTGATTTGAACACGATTTGGGAAGATTTTTTATTAAGCTTTAAATGTAACATTAACACAGTTTACTGTTTTCTTTTTTACATTAAAAATAATTTTTACCAAACAATAGAGTTTAAGATTCTCTTCAACAACATTGTTAAAATTGAAATGGGCTTCATAGGTTAACTATTCATCTGTTAAATTTTCAAAGTTGCGTCTAATTAAAATCCCATGGGCAAACTCAAACGACTTCTAATTTTTGTCTCTTTCAAATCTTGTATCATTATTACACTTATCTTGTAAGGAAACATCTTAAAATCAAACTTGAGTATTTTATGAAAACTAGCTTTATCAAAAAGGTGCTATCTTGTTATGTTGGACCAGTCTAAATAATTTTTTAAAGTTTCATTATCAATTGTATTAATGTTCTCGTTGAATCAGTCTTTTCTTGGTCTTCTTATACCAGAATTAAGTCGTGTAACTTATGGTGCCTTTAACTTCAAACTCCCTTAAAACTGTAAATAAGTATTCTGTTGATCACTTTTATTACAGGCTGTTGTTTTTACAAGGTTCGAAGTAGCAGATTTACACCAATAGTAAAGTTTGACAATTTTTACCAGCTGTTCACATGAAGGTTCCATATAAAAATACGATGACGTCACAAGGATTTTATAATTACCGGACTATTTAATTTCTCAACTTCTTAAAAAATTCTCAAAAGTTTGACAGATAAAAAAATATGCTTATACACCAGATGTTTGCAAAATATGAATGCTTTTGATTTGATCAAGGTTAAGATAATTAAAATTGCAACATATATTTTGGGATACCCTGAATACCAGTCGACAAAATGGTAACTAAATTCCCACTATTGGAATTCATTCATACAAATTGGTAGTCTATTAGTTATACACTGAATTGACGAAGGATTTTTCCTCTATTTCCCGATCATGACAAGGAGCATACGGCAGGTGTGACCAGTCGGCAGGGGATGCCCTCTCCTCCACGGCACCTTATCCCACCTCCGATGTTTTGAAGGTCCGAATTTTCTTTGCTCCTATTTTGTATTATTTTATGGACTTTTGACCTTGAACACTGTTTGTTTTATCACAATTTGTTTCATGCTAGTATTATTTGACAATATTCAGGGAAAATATGTTTTAAATAAAGAATTTTGAAGAGGACCAAACGTTAAATATAATCCAAAATACTAATATTATAATCACTTGTAAGACAGCCTTGTATTGGAAAGTTGTTAAACGAAACTAAATGAGAACATATTTCCAACAAAAATGTTTTACCTGGAAATCCGTGTCATTGATTTAAAATTTAGAATTGTTATAAATAAATATCCATTACGTAATGTTTTGTTGCTTGCTTAGTAACGCAAACAAGGAAGGGTATTTCAAATTATCGATCGTCTGAATTAGAAAATGTAAAGGAAGTGCTAAACAAATTTAAGTGTGTTTGTTTTTATACATCTTTTTGACGTTCTTTATTTCAATTTTTAATTTTATATCAGATTTTTTAAAAAAAAATGACATTAATGTACTATTTGAGTATTAGCAGCAATAAATCAATAACTTCAGTCTCACTGCATTGGCAGTGCATTTAAAAGGCAGACTGAAAGTGATTGATGCATATACAGCAAATAATATGGACACAGTTTTAATTTACCTGCCCAATTATAATTTAAAAATCTCCTCTCAATTTGTAATATATGTTTAATTCTAAAAATGTGATCACACACGCAGCATTAACGAAAAGCACATTGTCTTTTTTTGTCTTCATTTAAACAAAATCGTGTAATTTATCCAGCTTTTAGGTAACAAAAGTGCTTTCTGCAATATCCGGTTATGCTGCATAACAACGTTTTTCAATATTTCCAAGTCTAAAAATATACATACCTAAAAAAATCTAGTTAATATCCATTACTAAAACTCTATAGTTTCATGATTGGTTTTTCAATTATTATTGATATCTATAAATTACTTTCGTCAAACAAAGAAAAAAGTCCACAAAGCTAACAAAATAGACGTTTACCTGGTCCCGTTGGTATAGAGGCCTCTGTGTTTTTTTTTATAATGGTTGCCTTAAATACTATTTAAAAAAGTCGAACAAAGATATCATTTTTCGCGGAACAATCTAACATGGTCCCCAAGGTCGACTTAATGATACCCCACTTGATTAACTTCCATTGATTCAAATCATGAAATTGGAATAAAACGCTAATTTTCTGTCTTGGAATGAAATGCTAAATTATTTCTGTAAATTGTAACATGATTATGTTGTTTACTCTTTATATCTCCCGCTTGAAAATGAAAGTGTATATTGTGATCGGGAAAATGTATTTGCTGACAATGTCATTGTATCGAGGAAAAAGAACTTACGATCTGATGACTTTAAGCGGGACATCTGAAAAAGATATTCTTGTACCATCATCTTTTTGTCAATAACCTATCTCGTTTTAGAATTTGTACACACAAAAAGTATACTCTTACGTATCGAATCAACTAAGATATATAAACTCCTTATGCAGGTGATTACGTAAGGGAAGTTGACGATTGAAAGGTTAAAGTCATTATCTTTATCATAGTTTAGCTGTTAGATTATCATTAAGGTCTTTTTCAAGTGAAATATCCTAGAATGCATTATATGTGGCAGATACTGTGGTATCTTTTATCTCAAGCCCATAAATCACGATTTAAAGGCCATAACAAGAGTTTTCTTCTTTTAAAGTATAAGATTTTGGACAAATTCGGCTTCATATGAATACAAAGATATGAAATAAAAACTTTTGAAATGTTAGTAATTGCCTATTTTATGGAAATTTTGACAACAAATGATTTTTTGTTGTGTGAAAATGTTAATGTTTTATCATTATAAATTGTTAAGTTTATACTTCTGTTTAACGTCCCTCTCCAGAATATTTCACTGATATGGAGCGTTAAGTGCAAAAATTACATATTAGTGTTTGGAATTAAAGATATAAGTTTCCAGTTTTTCAAACTTAAGATAAATTGATTGCCCGTTTACAAATATTTTTCTTCTTTATTCAATATAATTCAAGATGATTTTGTGTGTTTTGTATCATATCAAAACGCTAAAGTGACTAAATAAAAACCATATTTCAAATTCATTTTTAAGGCATTGAAAGTTTTACATTTATGGAAGTATATGCATTGTATTGGAAATCTATAAGAAATATGAACGGTATAAATTGAACTAGCAGCTATAGTTAGTAAGATGATGTTAAAAAACTGTCAGCATAGACAAAAACGTTCTTAATAAGAAATTGGAATTATTCTATAAATTTAATAAACATAAGTTAACATTATGAATTTATTGACTGAGTTCGAGGGCAACATGCGTTTTGTCGGACCCCAGAATCAAATTGTCTCCCTTAGTAAGACATGAACAAGGAGCAATGGAGATTCCGGTTCATTAGTTTCATGCAATCATTTGCAAGTCTTAGGCTGCAAATTTATAGTCATTCTCGGCAATTTAACCTTTTAACAGTGAGATAATTAGTTTCATCTCAAAAGCTATTGCTACATAGGACCTCTGTTTACACAGTCTCATTCGAAGGACTGTCTTTAAATAAGATTGGAATATGCGACGAAAAAACTCCTTACTTCGCCACACTAGAGCAATCTCACTAACCACTGAGTCACACTGGTAGGTAAGGAATGAACAAGAAACATAACGTGGGCGTCAGGAAAAGACAGATATTAACATTTTTTTGACGTTTCTAGAGAAAATACTTCGTTTTTTAATTGCTTCATATATCTTTATACCAATAAAGTAATCTGAAATTATGAATACTCTTTCTTTTTCTATAAATATAACTTTTAAACATCAGACTTACGTTTCTAACGAGTCCTTATTTTCACAAGCCTGTACACAAGAAGTGACGTAATATCCTGCTTTCCCAAATAGTGGTTTGTCTCCTAGGTTTTATTTAAATCAAACATGCCATATTTAGAATTGAAAGAAGTGTACATGTTTTTGAACGCAATTTGAATAAAAAACAATGTATTTTTTTTATCTTGGTTTTTAAACCTTTTATCGAACCATTTAAATCCGATCTGTCGTGTCTTGCAAAGCTAAACATAATTTCGTCTAAAACGTACAGAAATTGTGATATGCTTTTTAAAGCTCTGTTGCGTAATTTGAGAAGAATTGAAAAGGGAATAAATATTGACTATACGATTTTTTAAAATATTTATTTACTTTGCAAGGTATGAATTTTGTGGAGCATAACATATTTGAACCATTTAGCCGTTCTGAAGTGAAATTCGTTAGCACAAAAGAGCAAGAAAATATATTAATTAAACAAAAATAACTTGTGTGACTCAAAACATGAGCAGATTTCAATTACAAACATGGTCGTTTTTACAAAAAAAAAGCATTTAAGAAAAGTTGTCTTAATGTCGATATTGAAATCTCCGTATAATCAACTAATCTGTCAGTAGCACACCCTTTTCGTACTTTTTTATTGACCCTACTCAAAGTATGATCCTGAGTATCGAACACAACTTGTGGTCAAAGAAGAAAATTATTTTATAAAATATGAAATCTAATGACCACAACATCTCGTCTGCAATACAAATAAGTCATTAGTTTGCTCTATTGTCATCTGAATATTAGAGTACGTAACAGATGTGGTAGAAAAGGTTCTTTTGTAAAACTGGTTCCTGGCCTTTCTGTGAAACATATGGAGATAAGGAACGGTATTCAAGTCCATAAAATTATACAAAATAGGAGCAGAGCATACACGGACCTCCAAAACATCAGAGATAGTAAATTCAGTGTTTAAGTAAATGAGACAAGCTGTTGAGAAAACAATTGCAATTACACAAAATAAATATTTTAGCATTTCTTCTATGATCGATGCAATGACTTTGTCAAAAAATTTAGCCTATCAAAGAGTCAAATGTGGACTGATGTTTTTTTTTTTATACTTTACAGTGTATGTTAAGCGATTATTTACACTGTGTGACTGGTAGGTAGGGATGCTCACTCCTTGTTGGCATCTGATCTCACCTCTTTGCTTTCCTCATGCTTTTATTAAATTAACTGTTTGATTGGATGCTGTTCCTTATCTCAATATCTTATTCCAAATATCAATCACAAGCTCAATCAACAACAAGAATTTAGAATACTTTACATAAGAATAAAACACAGCTGTGCTTAAAAAGGGACACGATAAATACACCAATAGAATTAACACATAAATAGAATAGTTTAAGCTTAGCATCGAATTAATATTGTATTTTGTACATTGTAAAACTTTTTTGTCTCACGAACAAGTCATTCACCCCCATCAATTGATTTCTATTGGATAAATTTTTGCTTAGAACATGAAGATGTCTGGGAAAGACTACTCTTGTCTTAAGCAACGACTAAAATAATCATAGTAGTAAAAGTTTCGTACCAGAAGAGGATACCATAGCACGGTTTATGAAATTAGGGTTAATATATAACAGGAAGTTATGCGAAATCCATTTAGGTCTCTTTCAAACAAAGAAAAGCGAATGGATTACATATACCTGTAAATTATACCCATCACACTTCTAAAGTCTCCTTGGATTGTCTGCTTATCAAAAATGCAAATATCATTTATACAAACAAGCAAATTCAAAGAATTGTGGTCCCCCGCTTTCGGTGTCTTTTTTGGGTGAGATGTCATTTTTATGACATTCTGTGTCTAATATGAACTCCCTATCATAAGTCATCTATTTAGAAATTATCACTGAACTCCAAGGTCAAGGTCAAAGGGTCAAAGTTGTTGGTATCCAATAAAAGGTCTTCCTACAAGGAATACGAATGTGAAATATGAAAGTCTTAGTACCTACCATTCAAAAGTTATGGCCAAAGTAAAAAAAATTGGAATTTTTGTTTAAAAGTGGGTTAAACTCCAACGTCAAGGTCAAAAGGTCAAATTGGTGGTACCCAAAGAAAGGTCTTGTCACAAGGAATACACATATGAAATGTGAAAGTCATAGCTCCACTGAATCAAAAGTTATGGGCAAGGTTAAAGTTTTTGTGACGGACGGACAGACGAATGAGATTTAATGTCCCCTCGCTTTCCCCTCACACCCCCCGTAAAAAATCCAATGTGAAAACTTTCAATTTATATGAAAACCTTTTTGACAGAATGTAATATATGTGACTCTAAACAAGAAAAAAGTAGACAAAATGCATACATACAGGCATGAACATCTTATTCCATTCATTTGCATTGCATTTTCACCACTTGTTGAATCGATTAAAAAGTTTTTTACGGAGATAATGAATCAAGTGAGTTTTGACAACTTGTTGTCCTTCAATCTACAAAGAATCGTATAGTAATTCTATTATAATGTCAAATATACAGACGTACAGTTTCTGCATGGTATTTATTTCTGTAGTTGTCAGATTTTATTTATCTTGAAACCATGTGGCTGATGCATGTAAAAAGGTTTACTTTTATCTTTTTTCCCCTTCGATACGCTAAAATATATACAGCAAAACTCGTTTAGTACGAACACGGATATTGCGAATTAACGGATAACGCGAAGTCAACTTGGATCCCCAGCTATATAAATTTAATGATTTTTTTTTATGCTTATAACGAATTGCAGATATCGTGAAGTAATTACATAGGTCCCAGAGACATCATTTTAACCGAGGTTTGCTGTAAACGCTTTAGGATAATTTAAAAAAAAATAAATCTCTTCTATTTAATTTATCTAATCAAATGTGATATTATTTAAGAGAAATTATTAGTTATACAGTACTTGTGAATTTTCCATCTCAGAAAATTTATTGATATTTGAATTTGATTTCTGAATAAGCAACTTAACACAAAAAATATTTGATGTATCGTGGTGGGTAAAATGGAAAAGAGTACTGTAGAAGTGAAGAAAATTAACTTACGCTATGTACGCGGTCACAAATTGTCAGCGGAAATTTGTCCAAGCGTACTTAATATAAATGTAAGACATATAGTGACAATCGAGAAAATCCGTGTAATTTTCTACCCGCGGATTAAACAGAAATTGAGAATCCGCGGAATTATGATCCCGTGAGAAAAAGTACGTCTACAGTAATTCAGAAAGGAAATTCTTCCTCTATATTTCACAGTCAATCTTTTCTACTTTTCCTTAAAATTTTACTTTTTTAAATTAATTTACACGACTCTTATGTTTAGGTAGGATCGTGCAAACTTTGCAATATTCCCTCACTTATGCAGCAATATACATGTACCTGCATCACCTGCATTGAAGTGTATATGTATTAGTTGATTCGATACGCCAGGGCATGCTCTACCTATGAACAATTTCTAAAACAAGGTAAATTATTGACAAGCAAGTTGATGAAACAAGAATATCAACAGTCTCGTTTAAAGTCATCATTTCGTAAGTTCTATAGTCGAAACAAGGGCCTTGTCAGCAATTACAATTAATCATTGAGACTAATGAGGACTGACGTTTTACATACTAACTGTTATTATTATTATATTGTCATTATTAATACACTGAATTGACGACGGATTTTTCCTGTATTTCCCGATCATGACAAGGAGCACACGGCGGTGTGACGGGTCAGCAGGGAATGATCACTCCTCAATGGCACCTGCTGAAATTCGTATTGCTTTTACATTATGAGGTTGACAAAAGTTAAAACTTTATAAACCTGCAAAATTTGAACGTTCAGAGTTTAGAAATGGTTGAGAAATCGAGGTTAGAATCAATTTAGACAGGATCGCCATTGTTCGAAAAAGGGACGTTTTCTGAAAAGGTGGAGCGGAGAGCAGCGATAACATTCTGCGTAGACATCGGAAAAACAGCAACAAAGACTCATAAACGCTGTAAACAGTCACAAAAATATAGTTTTAAAGGAAACCGTTCTTAAGTATTTAAGTGGAATATAAAATTTTCAGACGGAAGGAACAATTTACAGGATGAAATGCGTGAAGGACGAACATCATTCCAAGATTGCAGTAATGAGAAAATTTAATTTTGTAACGTGACTTTGCCGTATTTCTTTAAATAAAGTCCTTTGTACTCGAACAAAGGTTTGATGATTTGCAGGATCTGAAACAGGAAGTGTTAAATATTATTTTAGATATTAATTCTAATTTGTACACATTTTTGATGACTTCTTAATGCGACGTAGGAAATGTATTGAGTTAAACGGTGACCGTGTTGACAAAAGTTACATGTATTTTAAAGCTTTTAACATCGGGTAACGTCAAGGATTTTCTTTTTTAGTGTTCTGGGTATGAGTGTGTGTCTTTTTTGTATCTGACAAAAATATAACTATTTGTGCTTTGTTTTTGTTGAAAATTTGCATATATATACCAGCAGTCACGGTTTAAGTCATCATTTCGTAAGTTCTATGGTCGATACAATGACCTTGTCAATGAATACAATTTAACATTCAGTCAAATGCTGACTGATGTTTTTCATACTAATTATAAGCCCATTATTTATACACTGAATTGACTACTGATTTTTCCGTTAATTTCACACGGTAGATGTAACCTATCAGCTCACTCCTCTATACCTGAATCCACCTCTGATCCTTTGAGGTGAGCGTTTTCTCTGCTCCTGTTTTTGAATTTTTAATGTAATTATGAGCTTATTATATCCATATGTTTCATATTGTAATATGAGCGTGGTCCTGAACTCTTTCTTAGTACACCCCCCCCCCTTTATTTCAGACGGAACATTTCTCTACATCAGATACAGTCTATAAAACTGATGATAAACAACAAATTTTATTTGATTTTTATCAAGTACTTAAAAACAATAAAATATTACTATTTAGACTTACAACATTTACCTTAATGCACATCAAAAAAAATATTCAATTAAGTAGAGTTAGTAAGGCATCTATAGATTCTCAATTCTACACAACACAGAATATTACCATGATTTTAATAAAGTCAAACGTTAATAATAAACATATAAAGTACATTGTTTACGAATTGCTAAATAAATGTATTGCACAGTTGAGTTAGATGTATCTCATATTACATTATAAAAGCAACAACACCTATGCAGCCTCAATTAGTAAGCATGTAAAAACTAGACAAAAACCTAATCTGTTACAGGTTATATTTTTGAGTAAACCATAGATTTTCTTTAGAATTCTAATGTTCTGATTGTATATAAGATACAAACAGTAATCGATCTCATAAAATCTGTAATCAATTCACATATATGAGGCCCTGGTGGAATCAGATGCCTAGGGAAAGTTAGCATCCCCTGTTGACAGGCCACGTCCGTCATGAGCTCTGTGTTATGATCAGGCAGATGGAACATTCAGTAGTCGAATTCAATATAAGATTTTAAAAAAACTTACAATGTGTATGAAACATACGTCACAGCCAAAATACAACTAAGTGAAGCTTGAATAATGTTGTTGATATCCCTGTAGGATAAAAATAGTCTGTGATTATAGGACTTATCCGTCTCAATACAGAATATATATTTGGTTTTCAGAAACGATTTATACCAAGACTGATACAGTTTTACATAAACAGGGTTTAATCTGCCTTATATACTGTTTCAGAAACACTGGCTGGGAATTTAATGTTACATATTGTATTAAAAATCAATTAGATTCATATAATTTCAATAAAGCACAAATCTGCAACTTTCTTTCTCATCTTCTTTAGCTTCCCCATTTCCAAGAAACTTTGTCACTTGACAAAAAGGGTGCAAAGTACTCAGTCCTGTTCTACTCTTTATCCCATATACAGGCACATTGACATGTAAAGAGACACAGACATTGAATGAAATATAACCCCTTTGCCTAGTTAAGTGGCACTTTTTCTTCTTTCGTATCCTCTTCCTTATCCTGAATGTCCTCGTGTTTACATTTAAAGCAAGAACAGCAGATTTCTTTAAAACTGGCGCCTTGAGGAGTCAGGAAGTCCTTTTTCAAACATAACACGACAGAGATGATACCACAAGGCATCTAAAAATTAATTTTATGAGTTACTTCTTATTATCTAAATAATAAAAACAGAATACCGTCAATATCAAAATTGCAAGCTCAAACGTAGGGACAAATTCCTTTATTTTTTTTGGCAGGATTTCAGATATCTGTTGAGAATTGAAATCTTCAAAGTTAGACGATACTTGCATATTTCCTCAAGTTTGTTTAAAAAACAAATATTCAAGAAAACGAAAAAAATGACCCACAAGCTATTGAGGCCTTCAAAGCTGCAAGATCATAAACTTGTCATCTAATTTTTCTTGTTTTCATTTTTTATCAGTTTTTTTTTCAAAAATTGCAAGTGGTGTAATAACTTTGAGCATTTGATAAATCATATTTTCTTAATGTTATACATTTTGTAAATGCCTTTCTACATCCTCACAAATTTTTCATGAAAAATATTATCATAAATATCCTACCTCTAGAATTAAGATTGGTATTAAGACACCGAGGATATGTGACGAGTAGACACTGAGCTGAACAACTATGGCATGGAAACATCCCTGGTGAAAAATAAATAGATAAGATAAATAGACTGAATTAACTCCTGTGTGAACGGATGTTTGTCATTTACTTTCAACCGACTTTTTAGTTGATATTGATAATATACCTTTGTTTTATACGTTCCTCTGATAACTTGTGAATAACATTTGTCAGGAGCCGTAGAGTACGTTTCTTCTGTAACGTTGAGGCAGCAGGTCTTCGGAATTTCTGCGTTTGTTTTCTGGCATTCACCTTTAGTTGTACACCAAGGAGTTTTATCAAAGTCATTAGTCGTACCGTTTACAGGATTAACTCCACAACAATCTAGCTGTAAATAAAGACTTAGTGTAGAAAAAAATAATGATAATAACTACAGCTGTAGCCTGTACGTACGTACGTACGTACGTATTTGCCTAAAATTTAAGGAAAATGCATTGTACTTGGTAAGAAAAAAATATATAGTCATTCAACAATTTACCTGAAATATATAAACATGAATCAAAATAATAATGACATTGACCGACGTTTATATTTCAAAAGATGAATTTATTACAATATAAATTGTACGAGGTGTGACGATCAGACCGGAGTTATAATAATATATCAGGCTGTCTGTATTTAGAGCAGGTATAACAAAATTAAGGAAAAAATTTAATTCAACGCTTAGAGCTATAAATATATACTAAAATTATTATACATTATAATATAATACAATAAGCACATCTTTGAATACAAATCCAATTTTCTCTTTTTCTCTTTTAGAAAATATACAAGTAGAAAGAGCCAAAGATTACATATTTTATTTAATAATAATAAAATGAATAATACTGTAAAGATAATGTGTAGAATAATGTGCATAATTTTTTACAATATTTGCACATTTTTGGTATTAAGATGATTGCATTTTGTTACAAATTAATATTTTTCATTTATCTTAACCCCCTTTTTAAATAATATATTGGATTTCGTGTTAGTGCAATACTATTTTGACGTCATTCTGTAAAAACAAAGTTTAAATCATAAATAACTGTAATATATTATTTATGCAGTACTCCTATCGTGGTGTTCGATTTTTTGCGTTTATTTCTTGTTTTTATGTGCATTTTCTGTTTGTAAATAATGTATTGACCTGTATTTTCCATGATACTTTAGTCCTGTTTCGGAAAAAATGCGTAAAATTTGACAATTTCATCGATATTGACTAGCACACTTTGTAAGATGTACGTCTACACTCGTCGGATCTCTATAGTAAAATACATTGAACTGACTAGCGATCTGCTCCTTATATATACGAGTTGTAGGGAGAGCGTTGAAGAACGGGAAATATGGCGGACTATGACTATTTACGAGTATTGTTCAGCTTTAATATATTATTTAAGTAAAATATGTAAACTAAATTAACTCACTTTAATTTAGCATTGCGCATATCATATTTGATATATAAACCAAGTTTGCATATTACTTTTATTATTATTTACTTATATATGGCATTGAAGGGATTATGACAGTGTGAGGGAAAAAATATCGAAACTTTAAAATGCATTAATATTTTACTTCCATTAAAATGATCAAGGATTGGCTGCCAAATGAATAATACGTAAAGTGTTTACCAAGTTAATTGTATCAGGATCTTTGAAGATTAGTAAAGCAATACCTTCTACCAACTCAATTTTATTGTTACCCACAACCAAATTTAAACATGATACGCTCAATCAACTATACGTAATGGATATATGCCGAATACTGTTCTATATGTAAAATTATCAGACTGTTTGAGGCCCGTTAGGGCCGAAAACTGTCTGATAATTTTACATATAGAATAGTATGAGGCATATATCTTACTTAAAACATTGCCATTTAAATGTCCAAAAGTTACCTGAAGGAGTCCGATAATAACACAATGGGAGTTTAGGCATCAGTTGTTTTCTACCCATCTGATAAGTAGATAAAAGAAATGAGTGAACAGTAAAAGAGTGAGTGAACTCTTGTTTCATTCATTTCATTCATTCAATTGCAGTCGTTTCGTTTAGTAGGACAGGGGTACGGTGGTGAAAGATTTTTTGGAGGAACATTTTTATTTATGATGTGCCTAAATTGACATTGATACTGACATAATTTTAGGTGATATTATAACCATCACCATGGCAAGTAAAATGCGGATTTTTAACCTAGCTGAATTTTTAGCTTAGATATTGGAAACTCTCAGGTTTTGAAAGCGTGGCCATTGGGGAACAAACATAAAAGGAAATTGCAGAATCTTTTTTTTCAGAAATGGATTTAAATTCGCTTATTCAAAGTGCTGAATCAAAAACTCTTTTAAAGAGTGAAAATTAATGTTGTGGAAGGTTTAAACTCGGATTTTTTTCAAGGATTTGCTATTTTGTATTGTGATCAACTTAATTTCCTTGCGTTTGGTTTCCCTGAATTTTTTTCCTAACATTTTTATTGGGGGTTTCTGAACACATTTCATCTTAATTTCACTGTTCTTTTTGTTTTTTAAATACCGTCCGATTTTGTTATCATTGCCGTCCGATAATATATTATCAGACTGGTAATTATTATTATCGGACGGCTACAGGTAAATTTTTAGACTGCAAGAACAAAGGCTTGACGTCACAGCAATGTTTTAACAATACATACAACTATGTAACTTACTGGTACCACTTAATATGTTTTTAACATTTAATCAATTATTCTAATGTTCAAAATCAAATCCAGTATTCCAATACATGTACTTACTTTCATGTTCAAAAACATCTTATTCCAGGAATTAGATAGTTCATTTGTGCTGTTGATTGACACATCAGTAAAGTTTTCTTGTAGACTCTTAAGCATTTGATCCTTGTTCATTTCCTTGATCTAAAATTATACATTAAACATCTTAGTATTACATAACTATTCGAGAGATCGATAACAATTCGAGATTTTTTTTATCAGTATCTTCAGTGATTTTTTTCTACATTAAAACATACTTCTTAACAAAAGCATTTAGCTTTAAGGATGGTATTGAGAAGCCTGCTTGTTGTTTTTATAGCTCTCAAACAATTTGCAACTAAAATGCTAGTTCTGAGAATGAACAGTTTTTTTAAACATGACATGCTACTCTTTATAAATTGATGATTGATAGGGTTTTTAACAATCTTTTAAAATTTTGTAAATTCTATCGTTGTTATAATGATCATATGACATGTAAGCAACTATTGCCTACCCATAGTTCGCATTTTTGTTGATTTATATTTTAATTAATGTTTGAAATTTGATTTTATGGTAGATTTTACTATATATTCAACGTTTGCTTCATCAATTCATCGGGATTACCATGGGTGTAACTGGTCAATAGGTGATGTTTTCTCTTCTTGGCCAAATTATTTTTTTCTAGATTTTTTAAAGCTTGATTGTTTTCAATATCAAAGTCCATAAAACAATACAAAATAGGAGCAGAGCAAACAAGGACCTCCGTAACATCAAAGGTTGGATCAGGTACCATGGAGGAGTGAGTATCCCCTGCCGACTGGTCACACCTGTCATATGCTCCTTGCCATGATCATGAAATAACGGGAAAATCCGTCGTCAATTCAGTTAATAAATAACGGACTATCAATTATGTTTGAAAAACGTCAGTCAGAATTTGACTCAAAAATAAATTGTATTTGCTGACAAGATCATAGTATCTACCATAGAACTTACGAAATGATGACTTTAAACGAAATTGCTGATATTCTTGTTTCATCATCTTGATTGTCAATAATTAACCTTGTTTTAGAAATCGTTCATACGTAAAACGTGCTCTTGCGTATCGAATCAACTGAGATATATAAACTCTATATGCATGTGATGAAGATGTATTGCTGCATAAGTAAGGGAAGTTGATGATAGAAAAGTTAAAGTCATAAAGCTTGGTTGTTAGATTACCATTAACGTCTTTTTCAGGTAAATTATTCAAGTATGAATGCAGATACTAGAAGTGTCGGACTCTATGGTATCTTTTATCTCAAGCTCACCAGGATATATCGTATCGACGTAGGAATGGAAATTACCATTGTTAATTGACAATACGTCGTCGATATATCCAAATGTCGAGTTGAAGGCCACAGCAAGTTTTTTCTTCTTAACATGCAGATTTAATAGGTCTGCTAATAACGGTACGCAATTGGTACCCATGGGGATTCCGATAGATTGTTGGAAAACCTGGTCTCCAAAAAGATATTGTCAATCAGGAAATCAAGCATTTTTTTTATGTCAATTTCAGAGTACTCATGTGTGAATTCAGAATGAGTTTTAACAAAATAATTTTACAAATGAGCAATGACCAGGTAAGTAAATTTACGAGCTCCATTTTTAATGAAAATTAAAGCAGCTGTCAATGATATTAAAAAGCATGGACTTTAATCTATCATGGGAAATGGTTGTGTATGAAGTTGAAAAGTCATAAGTTTTGAAAATGTTGGTTTTGGCCAGATTTGCTTAATTACTAGTAATTAGCGTGTATCATTTTATGATTGAATCATACAATAACACAATTCTTGCTTTTTAAAAAAAAAAAAGTTTGCCAGTCATCACATTGACTAAAATCATTATACAATGACACATGCATTGACTTACCAACCTTAGAAGAAGAGTATTTAATATTCATAGCAATTTTCAATCTCCTTTCTTGCTTGGTAGATATATCGTATTTATCGGGTAGCTAAACCATCATACTGACATCAAATACAGCAGTAATGTTTAACTGTTTTGTATTTCATAATAACTTTGTACCTGAATTCTAGGGATAAACACAACAAGGATGACTACGGAACCCACACAAACCACGAAACTCAAAACAGACACCTGAAAAGACAGTTAAGGGAAATTTAATATAACGTTCATGAATCAGGAATATGATTATATTCAAACATTAATAAATCAATTCCATGTTTACAAAGGAGAAAAATACCTACCACAATTAACAAAATTTTCCTCCCCTTTACTATGATTGCTGTCAGTATACCTAAAACAGCTCCTGGTAACGTAGCCACGCCAATGGCAATAAGTAAGATTGGAAGGATACTGATTTGGTCTCCGAGTTTGTCTGAACCAACGCTGATGCTGTTAATGACTGGTCCTATTTCAGGATTTGCTAGGGTTCCGGCAGATAATAATATCCCAAGTACCAAGGAAATGATTCCAAGTAAAAACTGAATGAAAACATTGAATGACGTTCTTGAATTTTGTTGAAGGACAGAATGCAATTACGTGAGTTTTAAGATTTCTGTTTGAAATTTATTGACATTTGATTGAATTCCAGAAAAGAAGGATATCACAAAACAGATTTATATCAACAGTAAGATAAAAAAGATATTCTTTATTTCCTCCAAATTAATGGAGAGTTTGTATAAACAGGTAATTAACTAATTAACAACACAATGCAAAAAGAAAACATATTTATACATGTACAATTTTCTGCTAGAACATTACAGGTTTCGACAGTCTATTTTGCTTTTACCAAGATTTTGAATCCATTTTTATTGATGTTTTCTTATTTAACTGTTTAAGTTATAAATTAAGGACTTTTTTTATAAAAAAAAATGGTTTATACGTATTGCAACTCAAACACCGTCTTCTTTCTGATAAATTTCCATATCAGACGATCTTCTTTGAAATTTCAGTGTAGATTTATATGCAGCATTACTTTGTTTTTAGCTACATGTTAAGTTCATTATTAGTATGGATTAAAAAAAATCAGGAAATTGTACAAACCAAACAAATACTAATGGTCATCAATGAAATAGTTCCGAATTTCCTCCAGTCTGGCATGGTGAAGTCTTATGCTGAAAATTAAAAAGCATGTTGTGAAATTTCTGTTAATGAGTATGTTGAATTGATATACGCTTGTATTTATGTACATATATCTGTATATCACATTAAATATCTAATGAATGTTAGTCAGATCCTATGAAAAGCTCTTTTAAGTAACGTTTCTGTCTTTAGTGAAAATTTCAAAATTACATTCTTTTATTTTACTAATTACAATTTAAATAGTCTTTCAAAGAAATGTTCAATGATTTCTTGAAAGACTTGTGACGCTACAAGTATAATTTCAAAAGAAAAAAAAATGTCGTAAAAACAAGCTCTTTTTCTTTATCAGAGGAAAGAATCTTACAATTACACAGCTTAAATCCTATATTTCCTCAAGGAAACAGATCGATCTATTCTTTCCTTATCTTAAAAAGTCCTTTGTAAAATTTAACATTTTGCTATTTTTTTGATTAACAAACCGTGTTTTTTTTTAAATGAAAAAGAAAGGATACTTCTTATTAAACCTTTTCCGTAACCACTTTAATATGTATATATACTACCCTGATGATTATATCGGTAGGATTGCACATTTACTTTCAGTTTGATCTAATTAAATGTGCCATGAATGTTTTTCTTTTGTAAAACATATTTATATAATGTTAGCATTTTGACAAAGCGCTTCACATTTAAAATTTCAAGTAAACTTGTTTGTTAGTTTGATATGAAAACAAAAACAAAGAGAAATTTTATTCTCAATTAGATTAATGATAAATACATACCGTGATTACAGGCAGGCTAATCATAAATAGAACTGGATTTTATCTGACTTGTAGGGAACAAACATATTTGTACTTTCGGTTTCGACTATGACTCATAACCAATGCCGCGCCATTCTGCATAATATTGATTTATCGACATTAGTCTGTAAAAGTATTCAAAGAGAAAAGAACTGGCTATTCCAATGCTTACCTAGTATCTTTAATTTGTTTCCTTCTAGGTTTTTCTCAGATTTAATGCAGAACAGGAACGAAGGAGGACTCTTTGCACATATATTACCTTTAGTTTTTTGTAGGACACGATAGTAATTTGATAGCCATATTTAGTTTAAACTTCGCATTTAAAAAAAAAACAGTTTGAGCGTCACTGAAATAGATAGCGTTATCATCATAGTTAAGTCGATATAACTTAAGGTGAAGCACTTGTTTCATAGAGCTAACATATTCGAGTAATAGCAGATAAACATGTCAACTTATTGTCAAACAAAACACAAAAAAAATATGATATGTTCGAAGATTTTTATGTATTTGAGTTGTATTCTGAGTTTTCAGAATACAAGTATATAAAAATACAAGTCGGCTTAAAAGCGAGCACAATTAGGGGTCATTAGAATTTACAGGAGTTTTTTATAGCTGTTCTTCAACATTGTTCAAAGAATACATTCATTTTGACAATTAGCTCGAGAAACTTGAGAAAATTTTAATACCAATTTCACAGTTCAACAGAGTACTTCTTAAAAATGGAACTCGTAAATTTGCGTACCTTGTCATTTTTCAATTGCAATATGTAATTTTGTTAAAAAACAGTCTGGTTGTACACACAGGTACTTTGAAGTTGACATCAAAAAGATGCTGGAGTGTATGATTGACAATATCTATGTGGTTTTTGGAGACCAGGTCTTCCAACAATCTATTGGAATTTCCATAGGTACCATTGCGCCCAGTTATTAGTAGACCTATTTTTGTACTCATATGAAGCAGAATTTGTCCTAAATCTTATACATGAAAAGGAGAAAACACATGCTGTGCATGGCTTTCAATTCGACATTTAGATATATCGACGATGTTTTGTCAATTAACAATGGTAGAACCATTCTTATGTCGATACGATATATCCTGGTGAGCTTGGGATAAAAGATACCACAGAGTCTGACACATCTATTTCATATTTAGATATTTTACTTGAAAAAGACGTTAATGGTAATCTAACAACAAAGCTCTACGATAAACGTGATGGGTCAGAATAACCCTAAATGCCAAAGATCAATCACACAATTTAAACTTAACAATAATTTATTAACATTAATATATACAAATCATAAAGTACAAAAAAGAATCTAAAAATACATACATCAGAGTGTCCGTTGCTGCACACAATGTCCAGTGTAAGTATATCCCAGTCTCTTTATACACCTGTACATCAATGTTACTTATACGACAATTATTTATGCATCGAATTGACAGGGTATTTATACAGTAATATAAATCTAGAATATTCTAGAAATTATTAAAACATGATATTACTGGAACAATCTGGACATACACAAAATTCAAGAATGTTCTAGAAAAAATGACCGAACATGTTGACCACTCTGGAATGTTCAAGAAACTTAATGTTACTAATAATATACATGATGAAACAATACTAATACAACACACCTCACAACAAATTTAACTTTAAAATCGTCAACTCCCCTACTTATGCAGCAATATACCTTCATCTCCCGAATACAGAGTTATCTCTTAGATGATTTGAAACGCAAGAAAATGCACTACGTGTGAACGACTTCTAAAACGAGGTAAATTATTGACAAACAAGTTGATGAAACAAGAATATCAGCAGTCTTGTTTAAAGTCATCATTTCGTAAGTTCTTTGGTCGATACAATGACCTTGTCAGCAAATACAATTTACCATTGAGTCAAATGCTGACCGACGTTTTTCATACTAATTGTTAGTTCATTATTTGCACACTGAATTGACAACGGATTTTCCGTTATTTCCCGATCATGACAGGGAGCACACGGCGGATGCTATATCATGAAAACAAGATGGTTTGCGAAACACTATGCGCCCGGCGGCAACAAGTTCGAAAAAAGCTATTTTATCAGTCTTACACTTGGGATACGAAAGTATTTTAGATATTCATATAACACGCATTCTCAATTTATAGTCTCAATTCGCTTTAAATAATGTACCGCGTTTTAAGTAATATAATATTTCAAATAAATTTTATTTTCTGCCAGTCTTACGAACCTTTGTTGGTTGTTGATTAAAATACAACAATTGTTTGTTGTAGCTTGAATGATTGTCTTAGGAGAAAATCACATTTTATAGCAGAAATCGATATTTACGTTACTGTCGCCGATCATCGTGTAGTTTTTATTTTAAACCAAAAAGAATTTTTAAATCATTAACATATCTTTTTCTTAGTAAGATTGTCCTACATTTGAGTTATATTTTCTGAATATCACACCCTTCACACATATGCGTGTCACAGATTTTTAAAAATGTTAATATATTTATCAAATTTTGATGTCACCGCAAAATTATTACTTTTCTATTTGGAAATTCAAAAGGACTGGAAGGAATGATGAACTAACTCAATAGGACTAAGTTGTAACTTTTTAACATCATGAGCACCCTTTCTATTGCATGGAAAGGTAAAAAAGACACTGTTTATCTGTGTTTATGAACAATAGCCCCCCTTTTCTTATAAGTCCAATGGTTAAAAAATTCAACGATATTTACGTGTTAGTATTTATTCACAAATTAAGTAAGAGAACTACATTGTCCCCTATGGGCCAAATTGCCTTACACTCAAGCACTAGAATATGCCTTTAATTAACAGTGGAATAATTGAACAATGGCATTAAAAGTTACGATAAATCTCAGAAAGATATTTACGTTACCGATATTTACGTTACCATGTTTTAAAGTAAATAAGTATTAATTTCTAAAGCTGTTTAAACAGATTTGCGAGTGAATCTTTATGATGTAAATACTAAGAACATGAAGAAGTATACACTGTTTCTTAAAATGTCATTTTTTCTGTAACAAGAGTGCAGAAATGCAAATGGAAGTGCACATACAAAGGTGAACATTTTTACTCAATATCTTGTGCATCCGTGTGGTTTGAAAATTGAATTGACATAATATTATTCACAAGTAGAATCGTGGTTTAATGATTGAATCTTTCCATTTTGAGCAATTGGTTAATATTGCATAGTTTCAAGTGTAATGCACGTTATCATTCGGAACGTAAATTAAATCTGAAACAAAACTTTCTTCAAGTCTGTATTTTGCTGTTTGTTTGAACTGATAGTGATCGTCAACTTTAAAAAATGGTCATATACACTTGAACTGCATACCAAGCTAAATATTTTGAAGAAAAAAATATCATTTTTGTAGGAAATATAATTCCAGAAAATAGGCGCTGCGTTGCATGCAGTGGGGGGTGGGGGGGGGGTTTCTACATCGGGTAAAAAAAGAAAGACGGCTGTGGGTGTTGTGTGTCAAGATACTGGTTGAAATTGAATCCATTTCCATTTTTGTTGCTTTGCAAAAAATACATTTATTAACATGTATAAAATTTGCACCTATTTTTTCCCATTTGCATTGTTGCATAGACATATGACTTAGGAGGTATGCGTCTATGCTCTAATGGTACTGAAAATTCAATTTACGCTATATGAACGTAGAATGTATATTGCTCTAAAGAGCACATGTGATGTGCAACTGTAATTATTGACAAACTTTTTAAGGGTGGTGGGCGATCTTTGTTTTATTTTTGAGATTTGACGATAAAGTTTTCACAAACAATTAAGCATTTCTGGTATGTAGCAACAAGGGGGGGGGGGGGCAGTCCCACCCTGCCCCCTTTTTTCTCCAGCCTTACTTCAACTTCAGTAAATGTTCAGTGAAAAGCTGGTTGCCCCCACCCCCACTAATAGTGATGTACGGAAAATATATTGTAAAAATTGGTACTGAATGTAGTTGGCATTGAAAAAAGTTCGCCTCCCCCTCTAGGATTTTCGACTTTGAGCAAGTTTTCTCACCCCGCCCCCCCCTTTTTTTTGGCCTTGTCAACTTTCCAGGTAAGTAAAAAAAATTCTCTGGCTACCCCCCCCCCTCCCCCCACACACACTTACACTTTCAAAAACGATGCTATGTGAATGACTGCATTTGAAATAATCAACAGATTAAATGTTGGAAGGGGGGGGTGTTATGAATTACATGAGTCCTCTATAGATAAATCATTTATAACTTGAATTTTCAATTCAACCCTTTGTAAGAACACAGATTAGAAAATTCATAAAATTCAATAATTTGAAAAAATATAATCATTTTTCCCCCGAATATACTTTTATTTTTGTATGATAGCTATGTGCGATATTTACGTGATATTTAACAAACACTTCGTAATCAGGTAATGGCGAAATATTTAACCTTTTTATATTCTAAATAATGTGCGTTTCTCTGAGCAGATTAATAAAGAATCAATTAATGTAGCATTTCAGGGAATATTATATCATTATTAAGCTTATCATCGAATGTGCTAAAACTTGTTAAAATAAAAAGAAAATAATTTCATTAAAATGAAAATTATGTCCGTTTTATTTTTACTAATAATTGAATCAAAGATTGTACACCCCTTTTACAAAAAACGTTTCATAAATGTTTATAGTTAACAAAATTTGATGTGTATTATATTAATTTTGTATTTAAAAAAAAAGTCTTTCGTTTCCAAATATGGCTTTTCAACATCACGTAAATATCTTGGTGTAAAATTAGCCCTCCAACCGCTTTTATTTCGAAGGAGGCCAACAAAACAATGCATTATGTAAATCAAATTGCGATTTTTAATAACTATACACTTTCATGTTTCAAATGACGTATAAAAGTGTTAATTTCAGTTCACTAATTTTTTTGACTTTTCCCAAGATCGATTTGTGACTATAAATTGAGAATGCGTGATAAAGACTATACATAAACATATTTATTATAAAACTCACAATTTTGAATTATACGCATGAATATCATTATAACATTACATGAATTATATTTTGTTCCTTACACTATAGCATAATTTAAATTAAAAAAAATTCTGATCTATTTATATATAAAACTGGCACACTCCCAATTTTTATTTAGCTATAAACACCGACAGATTTCACACCTTTAATCGTACTAATTTACACAAAACATATTCTGGAGAAAAAAACACTTGCACATTAAATATGACATTTTTTGAAAATCATTACCTTAAACGGAATTGCTTAAAGCACATTAAAATAAAAGAAGATTATTGTCTTCAAGAAATAATGTACAAAAAGTAAAAAC